TAGAGATGCCCATAATGCAACTGGAGATAGGAGACCAGAGCTCCGGATTTGGCTGTTCCCGCTCGGAGCAGGACTGTTGACTGACATTGGCGGAGATGTCCCCAAAGATGGGGTGGCAAGAAAAATCTATGACACAAACCTTGAAAATGGCAACATTAAAGGGGACTGTGAAGGGTGAAGACAAACTCGTCATAGCTGGACGAGTACGACACCTGGTGGAGCAGAAGGGACATTTCCGTTGATGCCCAAGGAGGGCAGTGGCCACAGTGACCGCTCAGTGGTGGCTCCAAAGGTGTTTGATGGGAGCTGGTAAGGACAGGTTCTTCTGTCACCAGTAGGAACAGACAAGGCCCAAGTAGCACAGATGGGCCTGGAAGACTGTGACTCCGTCCTTGTCTCTCTGGGCTCTGGGGATATAGGCATTTCACCTTTAGTATCCAGTGTCTTCATTAGCAGATAAAACAAACTCATGCCCAGGCCACCTGCTGACTGCTATCCCATGGTCTCCTTAAGAAACTGCTTGTACAGACAGAAGAGAGACCGGGCTGGCTGCACAGACCTGATTTGTACTAGCCCAACCATTGTTGAGTAATCATCACAGATGCCTCCCACTGAGCTCTTAGCAAGTGCCGGACACTGTGACAAAGGTTGTCGGGACTTCCTCACCCCAGCCCCCTGACAAACCTGCAATCCCTACAGTTCTCACTCTGGCTTTGTGAGCCACGGTGGGGACTCTGCTGGAACTTCAGAGTGTACAGGGACCTTTTAGAGGACACAGGACAGCTGCCGGGGTATCAGATCTTGTCAGAATGTGCCCCACATGAGACAATAATGATAGGCCTGGACATCGTGGTGGCAACAATACAGAAAAGGTTCTAGCCCCATTGGCAAGCCAGCACATGTGACCACACTGACAGCAACTCTCCAGGATCTTAGGGACACAGAGTCTGGAATGTCTAGTGAGCAGGGTCCATGTGGTTGGGGGTTTCAAGCTTGGAAGAACCACTAACATGGAAAGGATTGGTTTCCTCAGCATGCTAGCATCTTCTGCCAATGGTCTCTAAGGGCTGGTGTACATGGCATGCCTTTGACTCTCTTGGAACTTCTGCCTTCTGAGAATTTTAACCTTTACACACATGAAGAGAACAAGATCCCTTAGCAACCGGCCGTGTTGTTTCTTCATAGCTGAAACAAAATACCGGACAAAAGCAACTGAAGGGAGGATTTACTGTGGCTCCCAGTTTGAGGGCTAGTCTGTCATGCTGGGGACGGCATCGTGCTGGGGACGTCAGAGGCTGCTCACATTGTGTTCACCATCAGGAAACAGGTGACTGGCTGGTAATGCTTGGCTTGCTTCCCCCTCTTCCTCAGCCCTGAACCCTATTTCATGGAATGGCACAGCCCAGTCAGGGTGATGCTCCCCAGAACTTGAGGGGACTCACTTGAGGACGCTCTTAAGTGTCTATTTAGAGACTCTGGGCCACCCTGCCACTTCTCATTGATTCACTGAGTGCTGGCTTCTCTCCCTCCTTTTCCTTTTCTCCCTTCCTTCCCCCTCCAATCCCCTTTGTCTGTCTCTTTGTTGGAGCAGAACGGGAACCAAGTCCTCGTGCGCATGCATGTCCCATGGGTGGTCCACAGCTCTAGCTCTCCCATGCATTTCAGTCTGGGTCACGTTGTGAGCTCTTGTCCTTTATCACCCTTCTTTGTCTTCCTCTCATTTCTGGGACTCCTCAGCTCTATTTCCCTAGCCAGACCAAACCCACCCCCACCCCCAGTTTATTTTATAGTAGAATCCCCGTTATCTCACTGGTCCTGGCTAGTTAGAGACCTCATCTTTCTTAACTTAAACAGGCTTTGCTTGACCAGTGTGCCATGGCTGAGGTGAGTTAGGCATTCCCTCAAGAAACAGCAGAAGTCCCCGCTTGTATTGCATGCGAATTCTAACCCCTCCAAAGTGTGGCTAAAGTAATATGAAAACTGACACACCTGCTCCACATGTCTGCTTCCTGGAGCTCCAACTGCCAAGGTTAGGCTAGTTTGGTTAAAATGCTGCCATCTGTTAGCTCTGTGGCCTTAGCCACTTAGACAGCGTCTCAATGTTCTCATCTGGAAAATGGGGATACGTTCACCTATCTCATAGCACTGCTGCGAGAGTTTACCAAGACAACGTGCACAGAGTCCTTGCCACCATTCCAGGCACCAGGAAGAGCCACACGAAGCTCAGCTGTAATGCTCCAGCCAAACCTGTGCTTTAATGGAGCAAACAGCGTCCCTACACACACATCCTGGGTTAGTGACATCATGGGATTTTTAAGAGTAGAGTTAAAAGTGTCACTACCCTTAACATTTACATTCCCTTAACCCAAATACATTGTTACAAGAAAATGTCTGTCTTTCCTTCTTCTCCACCCGGCACCCCTTTCTATTCAGTGAATGCAGGGCCTTGTAGCCTTGGCTGAGCTTACAATGTAGCCAAGGACGACCCTGAACGCCAGTCCTCCTTGCCTCGTGTGTGTGTGTGTGTGTGTGTGTGTGTGTGTGTGTGTGTAGTAGACTCCAGGTGTGCACCACATGTGCAGCCTTGTTCTTTCTCAGGGCTCCATTAAAAACACTGCTTTGGATGGCTTGGTGGTCCTTTGTCCTATCAAGGCTCTGGAAATATTCTTGTCCATAGACTCTTCTGTAGGCCAGACTCAAGAAGTAAGAGAACTAGTTGGAAGGACACTAGATAACTCTCCATAAATTTTAGTTCATTTATGCTTCCACTAACAAGGCAGAGATGCCCCCCCCCCCCCCAACCCTGCTACTTTCTGAAAACTTTAAAATGTTAAGACTTTTGCCCATCTCCTAGGCCGGAAAATAGTAGCTCGTGGAAGTGTGCATCCCTGACTCCTCAAACTTTTATTACATCATTTTAGTGAGTGTACGCTGCGTGTGAGTGAACCAGGCACGTGTGGAGGGCAGAGGACAACCTGCAGGAGTCAGATCTTTCCTTCTATCATGTGGGTCATAGGAATCGAACTTAGGTCATCAGATTGGCCTTGACCTGTTGAGCCATTGAGCTGGCTCAATATATTCTTTTAAAGATTTATTTTTATTATGTGTGCCTGCATGCCAGAAGAGGGCATCATATCTCATTACAGATGGCTGTGAGCCACCATGCGGTTCCTGGGAATTGAGCTCAGGACCTCTGGAAGAGCAGCCAGCGCTCCCATCCTCTGTATCATCTCTCTAGCGCTGGCTCAATATTTTGAACTAAGTCTATCATCTTTTTATTTTTTTAATTTTGTCTACTATGGCCCGCCCATTGACAGTCTTCTCTCATTTCTTTTCTTTCTGTTTTTTTCTGGAGCATTTGGAAGAAACGCTAATACCTTCCTCTTGTGCCTTCTCAGGACACGTTTGTCCTGCACATAGGGTCCTCACACTGATTCACTCCGTTGCAAGATCAGGAGTGGGGACTAGTGTGAGCAAGGGAAGATGGGAAGACTGCAGCTTCTGTGGGGTCACACCGCAGTCAAGGGCTGGTAACCCTGGTTACAAGGAGGCCCTGAGGCACATCCAAGCAGTCAGAGAATGCAATTGAGACAGCTAAGTGTGGGTGGACTGGACCAGCGTGTGGCGATGGGGAGGGTGGTCACTGGGAATCCCAAGAGACAGTGGTGGGGGACAGGGCCACTGATGGCTGCCATTTAAGCTTGCGTATCCCCAAATATCCATCATGTTCAGAATTCCATAAAAGAAAGCAGGGAGCCAAGTTCCCGTGTGTGAGGAGACCACACTGCAGGGACCTGCTTTACTAGCTGGCCACTTCGATCAGGCTCAGTCATTTGACGACATTCAGTACCTACCTGTCCTGAGATAGTAACCTGCACTGAGTGGTTCAACAGATAGGTCCTCTGGGGTATGTCAGGATTTTTACTTAGTTGAGAAAATGTCTCTACATTGTAGGAACTGTGAAAAATACAAAGCCTTAGGAGAACTTTTGTTTATTGTCTACAAATTGAGGATAAGAATGATGCTAACGTTTATCCAGTTTTCTAGCATACCAGAATTCAGTAAAAAAGACCTTTCTTTTTAAATGTATATAAATACTCATTGAGTCAGATCAGCATGACTTGTGTAGCTTTAATTGGTGAGGGTGTTTCCCCCAACTCTTGGCTCTGAGCAACACATGTGTGCGCCGTGCATGTGTGTGCCTGGACGAGACAGAAATATCAACTGGCAGATGGAACAGCATTGGCTTCTGGGAAACTAGCACTAACTGGGAACCCAGGAAAGCCCCCTGGAAGAAGTGACATCTCCATTAGACTTCCAGAGGTAAGATGGAACCCAAGAACACAAACATCTGACATCCGTGAAGGCAATGTGCTCACCAAGGATGCCCGGGCTTGGGGAAAGCTTGCTGGAGCATCGCCCTTTTCATCAACAGAACGGCAGGGGAGGGGGAGCCCACACCCACAGCATCCCAGTCTTGTCACTCTGCTGCAAGTGTTTCCATTTTGTTCATTAACTCTGATGCATAGACAATGTATTAAAAATGTTTTTTTTTTCCTTTGGCATGGTGGGGTGGAGCTGGTGTGGACATGGGTGTCTGGAAGGACTTTGACATGTCTGTCTACCTACATCTTGGGCTGCATTAAGCCAAAGTGAATCCAAGAAACCCTTGGAAAGCAGCAGGAGGGCATTGTGAAGCAGAGGGAGTCATGGGGAACAGAGGGAGTCATGGGGAGCAGACGGAGCCATTGGGAAGTGGAGGGAGTCATTGGGAAGCAGAGGGAGGATATCAGGAAGCAGAGGGAGTCATTGGGAAGCAGAGGGAGGATATCAGGAAGCAGAGGGAGTCATTGGGAAGCAGAGGGAGGATATCAGGAAGCAGAGGGAGTCATTGGGAAGCAGTGGGAGCCACCAGGAAGCAGTGAGAGTCACCGGGAAGCAGCGGGAGTGAATCGGAACCAGGTAAAAATGAGTCACAAATATTCCGGGGATTCCTCAAGTAATCATAGAATTGTTTAATCATAGAATTATTTCTTTATTTTCCACTTATTATAAATAACCCACTTCATTACTCAGCCATCTCCTTGAAAAAATTTGGTATTTAGCATAGACACTGAGTGTCAACCAGAGATGTTAAAAACAGAAAAGGGAAGGACTTTAAAAATCCATAAAATCTTAAAACCTGGAACACGTGTAGAGACTGCATTACCATTCTTTAAAATTTCAGCTGTTAAAAAAATTCCAGGTGGAAGAATGAGTAAACATAAATATAATCTAATGTATTCCTTTATAAATCCATTTGGACAGACAGAGAGTGACAGCGCATAGACACAGGACAATATTTCAGCTGCTAACTAAATCCTAACGAGCACAAATTAAAATAAATTTTGATTCTATTTTTTGTTCACCATGGAAAAAATGTGTTATCCAATTTGTGTAAAAAGTGAAGTAGTCACAGACATGTTACTAAAGCCACAAAAACTTAGGATATAAAGCAGATTACTGGAAGACAAAACACATTTTTAAAATCTTAAAACAAAAGACAAAATGTTCTCCTAGCATTTTCAGCTGAACTTTATCCCACAGCCACGCCTACTGCAGGGTTAGAGAGGTAGAGAGGTTGAAGGGGACACCAGTGTTCACATGACATGGGAGGGTTCTCACTACAGCTCTGGCAGACAGACAGGAAGCTGTAGGGACCAGACTTGAAAACCTTTCTGCTCCACGTAAGCGGAGTCACTGCCAGCTCCTCCCAGCAGTGTCCCCACAGCTGGTTCAGCATGGGTCTTTGCAAGGCCTGGCACAGGGGTGGAGCTCTGGTGTGAGTTAGGAGGCCCCGACACCGGCACACGGTGCTGACCATGCTAACCATGATGTAAACTAGCCCCGCCAACAGGCCCAGCACTGAATTCTAGAGGAATGATTGCTTCGTTGTGGGGCTACAGCCACCACTACCGACAAGAAAGGCGGCTGCTTAGCACAGCAGGGCCTTGGTGAGAGCCATGATGCCCATTTTCTGCTAGGTCAATGAAGCACTAAGGAAACACAGGCAAGGCGCTCCCACCATCCGGTGCACTGCTTTGTTTTCACTTGGGTCCAGCTCCAGGTCTTCTGGCCACTGAAGGCAGAATCAGACCCTCCTCTGAAAGCTCATGCCCAGTTCCAGGACTAGTTCTGTCTGAGAACTTGGTTAATGGACAGTCTTGCGCCTCCTGGGCTGGGCCCTCTTTCCACCTGACTAGGCAGCGTGGACATGTAACATATGCCCACACCCATGACCTTATGTTTCCTTTGACACCTAAGGGCAATGATTTGATGTCTTAGAAGACGTTGCCAACACCTGTCGAGCAAGTGAAGGACACTCTCATTCATGAATTGTCTCCGACGTCTTCAGTGCACGGGATGAAAGGGTGGGGCAGGCTGCGGCTTGCCAACAGGAGCAATCTGGAGGTGTGTAGCGGAAGTGCTTGGTCCTAGCTGTGGAACGTGAACACAACCCACTGTTCACTGCTGCGACTCTCCAACTGACTGATGTTCGTGTGTGAGGGTGCAGGTGTGGAAATGAGACAAAGGGGTTGTGGAAGAGAGGGAAAGCATGCTGATAGGATTGAGAACCTCGCCACACTCCGTGTTTACCTCAGGACTCACATCAGGCCTTCTTTTGAAGTGGCTCATAATAAATTTAAGCTATTTCTCCACACCCTTGTGATGGGACTCAAGAGCTTCCGGAGTGGGCGGGGACTAATTGAAGGGATGCGGAGAAAAGAGGATGCCAAGGAATGAGGCACCTTATGCTTCCCAGCTTGGCGTGATATGACCCCTGTTGAGTGGATAAGGAAGAAGCGTGTCACAGATGCAGGAACAAAGAACCACACAGTGAGACAAAGTGTGCAAAAGAGACTTGGGTATCTGTCCCTGTCACCCAATGGATGGTTGTGGGATGGCGTGACCTCATTTCAAATGCTACAGTAACAACTATTACAGAGAGGTACCCGAAAGGCAGCACAAAGAAAACCTGTTAGCTTTTTGTCCCTTACCACAACTTTTTTTTGCATTAAGAAAAAAAAAATTAATCCAAAATACTGTTCACCCTTGACAGTCACCAGCAAAATATGTTTTGAAAACAATGATCGTATCAAAAACATTTTAAGGCACTTAAACAGGTATACCATATTTTTTTCTGTAAAAAAATAAAATAGGCATCAAAGCAACATTCACATGGACAAGGGTTCAGAACGGCCTGCGTGTACAGCCCTGTACATATATACACCACGGTCTTCAGGACGGCGCCTCCTGGGTCAGACTGTCGGCCTTGTCAACTTCACTCCCTGCAAGACACGGAAACGGTTCAGACTTGGAGAGTCTCCATGAACAAGGGAAGTATCAGCTCACACCAGATAACAACGTATGCTACTGGAAGGAAGAGGCTACTGATAGCAGTTTCATCTGGAATGTCCCCAGTAGGTCCATGTGTTCAAGGCTTGGTCCCCAGAGTGGTACTATACCATGACTGGAAGATGGCAGGACTTTAAAGAGAAGGGGCCTAGTGGGAGACATTCAGGTCAAAGGGGAATATAGGGCCTTGGATAGGACCTTGGCCCCCACCTCTGTTCCCAGCAATGAAGGGAAGGGGCTTTATTCTCTGCATTGCTCTCACAGACCCCAAATCAAGAGAACAACTGATTGTGGACTGAGGCTTCCAAAACAAGGGGCTAACATAAACGTCCTTCTTTGTAAGTCTTGGATATTTGTTATAGCAACAGAATGCGGACTGGCACACTTACTCAGATGTTCTATATAACCAATTGTACACCTAGAAACAGACTTAGCTGCCAGCTTGCTGGCCAGCTGACTATCAGCTCCCGGAGCCTGGCTTGGCTATTTCTATCCTTCTGTGCTGCACTAGGAAAATAGTCTGGGTCTCATTAGCATTATCTGCAGAACAAACGTAGTCATGGTTCCCTGAGGAAAGATTCTTAGTATTCATTTTACTAGGTAAATATTCAAGGCTTTTAGATTATTCTAAGTTAGCTATTGCTAACAGGAAAATGAACAGCATGGTCCAATTAAGTGTCAAAAATTTTAGTCATTTGGAAGAAAACTCATGCAGTTAATTTTGTGTTTACTGTGACTGAAATATTATTGCAAAGAGCCTTCTTTTTCTTCTTCTTCTTCTTCTTCTTCTTCTTCTTCTTCTTCTTCGTCGTCGTCTTCTTCTTTTTCTTCTTCTTCTTCTTTCTTCTTCTTCTTTTCCTTCTTCTGTTCCTCCTTCTTTTTTTAAAGTACCGAGTATTGAATCTAGGGCCTCATGTATATTAGGTAAATGCTCACTCACTAAGCTACACCCTAGTCCTTTATTTTGAGATCAGTCTCACTGAAGGATTTAGGCCTCATCACTGAATAGATTCTTACCTCTGATTTATAACTTCCACCCTGTTTTTAACACTGTCTCTGGGGAAGTTAAGTGGTGGGAAATGTGGCCAGGCTAATCTTGAACTTATTTTATAGCCCAGAATGGGCTTGGATTTGCTAACCTCTGCCTCAGTCCCAAGTAGCAGGTAGGATCACAGTCCTGTTCAAAAAGATCCAGCTAATTTTCTTAATTCTTTGTCAATATTTATATATTTATACTCTGAGGGGGGCAACTTATCTGTACACTGATAAATGGAAGAGAAAACCTCCAGAGAAGTGAGAAGTAAAGATGACACTGAGCAGGAGTTACACAGTGCAGCTCCGTGAGTGAGCCAATCCACTTTCCCAAGACTTACAAAGTAGGAAGAGCTTTTAAGCTCCTTGTTTTGGAAGTGACCTAACATTGCTGAATTAGTGATGATATTTGATGGGCTAAACTTCTCGTGTAGGACCTCAGGGGCTCCCTGTGACTCTTGTAAGACTTCTATCTCTGTCACGTGTCACAAATATATATATATATATAT